GCCGCTGCAAACGCTAGCAAAACGCTGGTGAAACGCTGGAGAAACGCTGCGTACGCTAGCGTTACGCTGGTGACGCTGGGAACGCTAGATCGATATGCATCCTCTCCCCGGCACTGCCGCTGGAAGCGCTACGCTGCCGCAAAGTATAAACGCAGCCTTAGCGGCGACCGTGCGTTTACACAGAGTAGCTCGTCGTACAGCATTTTCTAGCTTCCCCATAACACCAAATGAGAACCTTTTTGAAGTGTACGCCCAGTTTGTCTCCCAGCAAGAATTCTCCCAGTATGAACTGCAATTGCAGAAAACCCACCTCTCGTCTATACCAACCAATCTCTCATGAACTCCTTTTTATGACGGCGGATAAGAGGAGGACTATCGTATGGGTATCCGTTTATATCGCGTGTCATCCATCATAGGTATGGCGGATCAACCGAGCCAGTGCTTTTCGACAGCCGAGGGCTTACAGGCAGGCGACGACTCAATAAGGTACATCCGCGTCTTGTCGCAAGACTGCGGGTGGTAGGCTCTAGAACCTCCACAGCATCGTCTAGAACGGCAAATTCTTCCACTGCTAGGTGACATACCGACCGAGGTTCGACTTCGAGGACCGCGTCTTCTTTTGCGAGGCGAGCGAACCAGACGAGGATGGCGACGATGTTTGTGGCGTCCTGGTGTCCTACCCCCAGAGCACTGCTGTTGTCGCGGGCGACTGCCTGTCGCATCAGGGCGGACAACGTCATTCATAGAAGATGATGATTCAAAGCTGCTCCCAAGAAATTGACATTTGATTGAACTCAGAGAAGACAAGCGCCTGAATATACCTCTTGCGAGGACATGTTAAGCCTTGTCTAGGCATCAAGAATCACACAGAGTCACACGAACGTGCGACTTTCACCTTTGCTTCTTCACGCATAAGCGTTTACAAGGCAAGTTCAAACCATTCCTTGTACATCCATACCGGTCAGTTCTTAGGTTGAGATTTTCTTTTCAAAGAGAAATGTAATGCAATGAATGTGCAGCATTGCTATTACGGACTCCTTGCCAGTCTTTGGGAATCTAACGGAAGATATAGTTTCGCAACGCAGCTTTGCACGCAACGTTGGACGGAAGATCATCTCGTTGTTCATATAGGATCGCATCGTAGAGTTTTCCTCGCCCATTTATCGAGTTAATTGGGGAAATAGGTGTCTATTGAAAGGAGCAGTATCCAGGCTCTATCAGAGCAACGAACAAACCTTCCAGCCGATCTCGCATGAACTTCGGGCTGACCGCTTTTGCAAGGTGACGTCTGACTTTGAAAGCAGACTGTACTGACAAATGTTTCTCCCTGATTGACGATTTGCTTTCGGTTCCAGTGTTGCTTATATGTAGAGTGCAGATCGGTTGTGAAAGCAACTCCTTCATTGAACAGATTTACAAGCCACAGCTCGCTGAAGTTGACATCAAATGGACGTTCAGGTCTCACTTCGTTTTCAAAGCTGCAGCGTCATGATCTGAAGCGTTACTGTCTTGTGAGATTATTTCGTAACGAGGGCCATGACCCTCCCGAAGCTCCCTCTTTTTGGCTTCGGCCGGTAGCTACCGCGTCCAGTTGAGAGTGGTAGAAGAAGAACGTATTATTAGAACGCAAGTGCTGACGGTTCGGAATGAAGTCGTTGTTCGTACTGCAAGGAGAGGAGGAAGTAGGACACATATGGGTAGTACTAATAGGAGAGTTCGCCATGGGTATTATAGTTCTCAGTATCGATCGAACCTATTTAAATCGAGAGCAGGTATTTCAAGCCTGCGAAGATATGACAGAACCTTTACGTCAACCTCGTAATTGTTTTTTATTTGTTTTTTCGTAATTGTTTTTTCCTCGTAATTGTTCGTAATTGTTTTGAATCTATGTGGCATCACTGATTTGTCAGTGGGTATCAGGGAGCTTTTTCCTCAACTGTCAACCTATAAGCATTTGTTTGACCCACATTTCCATTATGAATTGAGCCCCATTTGTTCAAAAAGCTTGCCTCATGGAGCACGTTTTCTGCTGAAGGACACACTGAAACAGTTGAACTGTTGCTCATTCTTTCAGAATGAGCGTATTTTATTTGAATCTTCCTTGGATAATCAATGAGTCCGAATACAATTGCAGCGGTCGTTCATTATTTGAATGGAAAAGCAGAGGTTCAGTAAATGTGGCGCAAGGAATCTATTTCACAGTATCAGGAACAGTTTTCGTGGTGAGTAGAGTATAACGTGTATATGTAATCTCTCTTCACAAGAGTCAAGAGACCATTCGGCGCGGAAGATTCTATAACTTCATAATATATCCTAATTTCTCTGTAAAAACTCGTCTCTACATGCTGGTAAACGTGAAGATCTTCTTCAAACCTAGTACATTTTTGACCTTACAGACGAGTACTTCACACGCTCACAAGTAAAGAATTAGTAGAAGAAAATGTTTATTCGCGGTTGATTAATTCTATATGTGGGATAGGCAGCCTTCTACTTCTTAGAATGTTAGTGGCTTTTGAATGGCCGATGTGGCCTGTAAGATTGGGGGCCAGCCGATTGTGGAAGTCAGTGTTTTATCCTCCAGACGCAGTCTGGTTAGAATTCACGATCCAGAGGGTAGAGGCTTGGTTGGCTGGGCGGGAGGTCGGCCCCGGATTCGAACGGGACGCGCCGAGTGGTAGCGCGGCTATCTGTCACTACACACTCCGCCTCCAAAGTAAAGAATTAGTAGAAGAAAATGTTTTCTGTTATTCATTTTTGTCTTCTGTTTCGAGAGAATAGTAATACTAATGGAGAATGAATAGTTGCTTGGGCTCAAGATCTATTGCTTTAAATTTAGTAAGTTTGTTTGATTGGAATGCTCCGAGGTAGACTACTAACGACGCCGTGTTACTGCTTGATGTTTTTCAACGGCATCATTGACATCATGGATATAATAGCTGGTTCATTGATTGGCGGCATAACTTCGCTTTAGTGAGTGATTAGTACATAGCATAGCGCAACTTTACCAAAATTTCGCATGCACTGGTCGAGGTATCCAAAGCTTGAATGAAACTGCCATTAATAATAAAGTAATGAATAAACTGTACAGCAGCAACAACTGTCGAGAAACTTATGTATGACGTTTCTCGTCGTTACCGTGAGGGTGCTGCAAACGGATCTTGAAACATTGAAGAAAGAGACAGTCCGCACATTGAGCATCGGAGTTCCTTATGATCACAACAAGGTGATACCATCACTCATCGCCTTCGAGTTCAAAAAGCCTGGACGGCTGGCATCAATTTGAAGCAAGCAAATTATGTTCGTTACTTGCAGGTTTCTAGAGTGTTGCTGTAGTTAGGTAGGTTCGATAGATTGTGAAGATAGCTCACTGAGACCAGTGTCTGAAATTCATGTCTAGGATATCCTATATTGAAAAAGTCTCACGAGTATTCCTTGAGAGAGATGTGCTTTCACTGCCCTCGCCTGTATATAGATACCATTCTTAATCCTTCAAAGTTTCTGGAAAGGACAGGTTCATGAGCGGTCAAATGTTTCGGCGTTCAGTTATACAGGAAAGAAATCGCCACGAGACATCACCACCTCCGCGGATTTCCCCGCCTTTTTCCAGGAGAGCATCTTGTCAATAGGGCTTCTGAATAGTGATTGAATGAAAGGAGATGATCAGGGAGATTACCAGGAAAGAAGCGGGGGTGAGTAGCCTTTAACATGTTTCTTCCTGGCGGTTCACCAGGGATCGGGAAAGCTCAAGTGAGGTCAGAAATGAACTGTGTGAGCACAAGTTGATTCTCTTCTGCACCTGCAGCTCACTGAAATTTCACATCCTAAAACAAGCCGTTTCGGAGAAAGTCTCTGCGGTTTCGAGCCGAGAAATCGACTTTGCATACCTCGGCTCTACGCATCCGTCCATCGCTGGAAGTAAACTCAAATTTTGCGTCAAATTTTGGCACTGTGTAGCCTCCGCTTCACTAGATTTTTCAGACTGGCGCCGTTCTTTGCTCTTCATTTGCTTTCAACTGGTTTGCTGGGTACTTCTCGTGGTGTGAGTTGGTTTGCTTTTTGATATTAATTGAGCAGTATTGTGTAAGGGAAGGAAGTGCAGAGTACTATACTGGAATCATGTTCATTGCAATCTATTGAACTTGGAAGTCGCATCGGTTGCTCAGTCTATTTTTTACTTACAAAAAAACTTGAGATTTATATTTTCAACTAGATCTAACAGTAGTACGCTACATAGTAATTTTCTCATTAACAGGATAGTTTCTTCATATTTAATCGTTCACCAATGAAACTTTGATCCGAGCCTCTCTGACTACTCTTCGAAGGTCAAAGGGCACTTGACGCATGGTTGTCACTGATCCTTTATTGCTTGGTAGTAGTCTTTGCTTGCACGTTTTCTCATTAATATGACATAGTGAAGGATAAAGCCTTCGCCGTTGATCAACCCCTTTGTGGGATGCGGCACGCATTCTACTTCCATTCAAAATCGTGTGATGTTATTTACTTATTTATTTATTCATTTATGCGTACAATGACGCGCCTAGGTCAATACCACGGTCCGTGCAGGAGATTAGTAACAGAACTCAGTGATTCTAGAATCAAACACAAAGGAAATGATAGGAAAAAACAGGGAACAAAAAAATGAGAGGTAAAAAAAGCAACGCAGCAAAACAGAAAAAGAAAAATACACGAAAAAGGAAAACACGAGGAGGAACTGCCATGTGTTACCAAAAACATTCAAGCCTTGGAAATCAAAGTAAGAGGATGCAGTGGAAGTAGAGGAGACCGTAAAAGTTGATGAGATGTAAATCCTCGAAATGAAGAACGGCATGTGGGCATGTGAAGCTTAGAAAGAAGGAACAACACAAACAGACGGGACGGTTGTCCCAGGGATGTTTCGAAGTAAAAGCATGACTCTGGATTAAGTCGCTATCCAAGAGCGAGGTAGGGTGTCTAATGACCACACACGCTAGCGCCTACACCAGCCGGCCATGGTGTCCTTACGCCACAACCGGGGTCATGGGATTTTGCCGGAACTT